AATTGTGACGCACTTTCGTGAACACTTTCTGGCATTTGTACTTGTTGGTCGTCATCTTCAGAAGAGTCACCTTCCAAAGTCTGAGGCTGTTGCTGGTAACGAATTGGTTTAGGTTTGGTATAAGGATCATTTATATGCTCAATTGTAGCTTGCTGTTGAGATCCAGTATTTCTTTCTGTTGTTATCAGAATTAACGTTCGAATTATAAATTGTTGATCCTGATTGAGACTCGTATCTTTTTCTTTCTTCGCTACTACTAAATGTATGCGTAGTATAGCCAGTAGTAACTGTTTTATTAGTTGCTTGACTGTGATTAAAAAGTATTATGAACGCTTCCGATTTGGTTCACTTTATTTGAATCCTTTGATGTAACAAAAGTTGAGTGATGTTTATGAGATTGATTGATATGTCTTCAGTGCTGCTATCTTGGTTATGAATCTCTTCTTGTTTCATGTTAGCTTTTGTGATAGATCAGATATTTGTTGTATTGTGTTTGATTATTGGTTTGTCATATGTTGCTCCTGATAATATTTCTTTTCTTCACCATGGAATGATCCGTATTATTTACAACGGTAGTTTTCATTTGTGACCCACTTTCGAAAACACTTTCTGGCATTTGTACTTGTTGATCGTCTTCTTCAGAAGAGTCACCTTCCAAAGTCTGAGGCTGTTGCTGGTAACGGATTGGCTTAGGTTTGGTATGAGGATTATTTGTATCCTGAATTGTTGTTTGCTGTTGAGATTCGGTATTTGTGTTATTGTCAGTATTAACGTTCGAATTTAAAATTTTTGATCCTGATTGAGACTCGTATCTTCTTCTTTCTTCACTACTACTGAATGTATGTGTAGTATATAGCCAGTAGTAACTGTTTTATTAGTTGCTTGGCTGTGATTAAAAACAGTATTATGAACGTTTCCAATTTGGTTTACTTTATTTGAATCCTGATTATGGTTTTGACATATGTTGTTCCTGAAATATGTTTATTTTCTTCACTTTCTAAAACACTTTCTGGCATTTGTACTAGTGGTCGTCTTCTTCAGAAGAGTCACCTTCCAAAGTCTGAGGCTGTTGCTGGTAACGAATTGGCTTAGGTTGGTATAAGGATCATTTATATGCTGAATTGTAGTTTGCTGTGAGATCCAGTATTTCTGTTATTGTCAGAATTAACGTTCGAATTATATATTGTTGATCTAGATTGAGACTCGTATTGTTTTCTTTTCTCACTACTACTGAATGTATGTGTAGTGTAGCTTGTTGTAACTGTTTTATTAGTTGCTTGACTGTGATTAAAAGTAATATTATGAACGTTTTTGACTTGGTTTACTTCATTTAAATCATTCGAAGCATCTATAATTGAGTGATTTTCATCGGATTCGTGTATTACATTAGCATTTGTGCCATGAGAATTTGTTGTATGATCCGTAATCTTACAAGTTTTCCTTAGTTTGATATTGAGAATTTGTTGAAATTGTTTGTCCTTGTAAGCGCTTTTGCTCATCTTCAGTAGAATGATTTTCTGAACTCACTGATTGTTGTTGATATCTCATTGGTTTAGGTGTAGAGCTTCCTTGATTTGTAGTGCCAGAATATGAATGATGTGTTTGTTTATCATAATTGTTAGATGCATGTCCATAATTGGTATTTTGGTGTGTTAGTAGTAGAATAATAATGTTTGATATCGTTGTCTTCAAAGAAATAAATTTTAGATGATTCCATGTCATGCTTTCTTCTTCTTCATCACTACTAATTACATACGTAGTAAATGTTGTAGTAACTTTTGTTTGCACTTTGACTTTCATTAAATTTATTGGCATTCGTGTTTACAACGTGGGACATTTGATTTGCCTTTTTTACTTCATCAACTGCATTGGAATTAATTGAATCTACTTCACTACTTTGTGTGTAACTTCTGGATGAATTTGTAGATTTGTGCAAAGTATTTACTGTTTGATTTTGGTGCATTGTATTATAATTTTCTCTATTGATATTTGTACCGTTGAACGACTGATAGGTTGATGAAAACGCACCATTACTTTCTTGATGTGACGTTGCTGAGCTACCTTGTGATACACCTTGATCATTATCAAATGGATGACTCGTCGTAGATGAAGTTGATATAGAATTTTTATATGTTGACTGACCATATAATTCATCTGTATCGACTTGTGAAACAGAATCCTCATAACTTCCAGATTCAACCCTGTGCTCGTTCACTAAGAACTTGGTTTTGCAAATGGCTCAGAAGTTTCTAAAGTTTGTAGGAGTCGTTGTTTGAAATAAACATTTTGTTCCAAATTTTTAGTCTGAGTATTTTGTTGCTCGCGATTATATTGATATTCTGATGTGTGTTGTCTTATATTTTGTTCACTAGAACTAACGGATGAACTAGAATGAGTCCTTTGAGAATCTCTTGTATGAGATTTATCTTCAAATATATACCCCGACATCTGTTTTTGCAGGTCATCATCTTCGTTTGAGTAGCCTCAGTTGTAGAAGTTTGATACTGATAGCGCAATGGAATTGGTTTAGGAGTTATTATAACACCAGGTGAAGTTTGTGTAAAATGCTGATTTCCATAGTATCATAATTATTTTTTATTGCTTGTATGTGTGAACTCAGATGAAACTGATTGTGATGCAGTTGTTTTGCTTTCTTCGCTGCTACTAAAAGTGTAGCTCGTGGAACCAGAAGTAACGGTTTTGTTTATTGCGATATTTTGATTGGTTCCATTTATCAAAGTACTTTGATGTTTATTTTGTTGATTTGATATGTGTTGGTTATTACTTGAACTATTATCATGAGAGTAGAATTGATTCATAACTTTTTGTTGAGTATCAGCTTCGGTTGACTCAGAATTCAAAGCCATATTACTAGAAGATGAATAATTTTTTCCAGAATTCATATTTATTACATGATATTGACCACTTATATTTTGAGACGAATAACTTATGGAAGATGTTGATCGTATATCACTCGAATTACGTCCATGACTACCAGATTGTTGCTGATGATGATTTCTATCTACAGATGCATTCTTTATTTCAGAATTTGATTTATGTTTTTCATTTTCGAGGAAATCATGGCTTGAAAGAGCATCACCTTTGAAGTTAGTAGGTCGATACTGGTAACGAACTGGTTTAGATGTGACATAATTATTGTGCCTGAATTTATATTAGTTGTAAATCTGGTTGTTGATCTGGATTTTGAGAAGAACCAAGTAAAGAATCCAAACTTGTTGCGAAATTTGTAATGAGCCTGATTGTAATTGTTCATTCCTTTCTTCACTACTACTAAAATTATATTTGGTGAAAGTTGTACTTTCGATCAAGTTTGTTGCACTTTTATTTATATTAATATTTTCTTTGTTTTGCTGCAAATTGAACTGCTGATTGTTTGCAGATGCATAATTATCAGACTTATGTTCGGCAGATTTATTTGTAAAATGACTTATGACAAATTGTTTACTTTCCTCTGATGTACTATTTATTGAGGAAATATGAGCTCTCTTACTTGTATTTTTAAATTTATGCAAGTCGTCATTATTATACTGACTGATGATTTGTTGATTATAATTAGTAATATAGTGCAAATCATTACCTTTCGTTTTGTCGACGACATTTTTTTGTTGTTGTGAATGCTCACTCGACTCTTCTACGATTTTTGATGTAGAAGCATAATTATTTGAAACTATGTTTTGATTTTCAAAAAATGTATCGCCGCTGTTAGTTGTTGCTTCATACTTTTCTGTGCGTTGGTCAAGTATTTCATAACTATCTTCGTCTGATGATGAGTCTGTTATTACTTTGTGTTTTGCACTATTACTTTCATGACTGCTCTGTGAATACTGGCTTACAAGTGTGTATGACGAATTGGTTGTTTTTGACCCACTGTGCATAGAAACATTTGAACGATGTTTTTTCTCCTCACTATTCGCACCTGCAGAAATGTGTTCAGAATTTGCATTTTCTATATTTTGTTTTTGAGTTTCTTGGGAGACTACTGAACCATTAACACTATTCACAATATTCGTATTGATCATTTGAGTAGTACTTGTAGATCCTGAATGTGTAGATACAAAGGTACTTCTATTTGAACTGTGTCTAGAATCAGAATCAATTGCACTAGTTCCAGTATTAGTGTCATAACTGCCGTGTTCAAACCCTGTACCATCAAGTTCTTGTGCAAATTGTGTGTCTTCGCCTTCATAAACATTCTGTGAAGCGTCATATGCCGTTGTACTTGAATTTCTATTACTGGTACTATACCTTACTCCACCTGAGGAGTACGTGTACGTAGTTCTACCGCCATCATTGTATCTTGATCCAGACGTGGAATAACGTGATGGCACGTAGCCTGTAGATCCTGAATGTGTAGATACATTATTATTGCTATGAGAGTTTTGCTGTGTGTATTCAGAGGTACTTCTATTAGAACTGTGTCTAGAATCAGAATCAATTGCACTGGTTCCAGTATTAGTGTCATAACTACCGTGTTCAAACCCTGTACCATCAACTTCTGGTGCAAATTGTGTGTCTTTGTCTTCATAAACATTCTGTGAAGCGTCAGTTGCCGTTGTACTTGAATTTCTATTACTAGTACTATACCTTACTCCACCTGAGGAGTAGGTGTACGTGGTTCTACCGCCATCATTGTATTTTGATCCAGATGTGGAATAACGTGATGGTACGTAGCCTGGACGACTTGATGAATACGTTGTTGTTGTAACATTATATCGATTTGGCCCACGGTGTTCACCATAATTGGAATTATATCTAGAATAAGATGTAGTTTGGCCTCTATTTCTATGCCCGTAAGCATGGCCGCGAGGATGCGGTTTATTACGATGTCCTGGTGGAATAAAATCTTTCTCCCAATAATATTTTTTCCAGCCCTTACCACCAGGCTTATTTCTTTTATCATTACTATTACCGGCACTGTCATATTCGTCTTCTTCGCTAGAATTCTCATCACTTCCTTCTTCTTTATTGATATTTTTCTCAGTTGTATTTCGTGCATAATTACTTGCGGTCCTATGTTCTGAACTAGTATGACTTGAAGTGTATCTTGTTAAACCGGTGTGAGAATGCCCTGTTGATATTGATTGTTGTCCAATGTCCTGCTCTTGATGATTTTCATAATCTTCATTGTTGCCATGTTCACAATTTTCGTCATGTATATGATCAGTAGTATCTTGATTATTTTCAGTGATTTGTGTACTTGGTTTTGCATAAGAGCTAGTGGAGTGATAACTTGTTATTGTGTAACCCGGTCTATTTTGGTTTGAAGTATAGCGTGATGAAGTAGAATGAGATTGACTTGTTGTTCCATAATTGCCTCTAGTATGTGAATTTTGTTGTAAATTTTCAGTTGTCTGTTCTACAGTATTCTTACCATGTTCAAAACTGCCACCATGTACACTATTGTTTTGCTGACTGTTATTGGTATCTATTGAACTAGTACTTTCTGAATATCCTAGTTCGGATTGACTTGAATTTCGAATAAAAGATCCAGCACGATAATAGCTTATTGTTTGAGCATGCCCTGCTGATTGTGAATGCTGTCCTGCGTTTTGTGTATGCTGTTTATTACCTTCATCACTATCTTCATTGCTCTGATTATTGTTTGTAATCGTATATGGTTGTCCATGTGTCATTGAATTATAAGTTGTTTCAGCATACCCTTGGCGATTTTGGCTCGAGTTAAAACCAGTTGTCCTAGAATTCGAACTGACCGTATGAGAGTAACTCGTAATTCTATGCCTTCCAACATTTTGCGCATGATTCTCACTTCCATTTAAATCACTACTGTTTTCCTTGTCATGTTCACAGTTTTCACTATGAACATGAAGTTTACCTGCATTATCTTGGCCATCGCCATTATTGGAATTCTGCGTTCCATATGAACTAGACGAATGATAAGTGGTTCTTGTATATCCGGGTCTATAATGATTTGAACCAGTGCTTGATAAGTCAGAATCAGAGTAACTTGTCGTACGAGTGAAACCTGAAGTCTGCGTACGTTGCCCTTTGTTTACAATGCTTTGCTCGTCATCATCAACACTGTTTTTTTCTATATCATGTTCACATTTATCGCTATGAATATGATCAGCGCTATTATTTTCTTGTTTATTTAAAGCACTACCCACATCGGAATAGGAACTTGTGCTTGAATCAGTTACAGAGTTGTATCTTGTCCCAGAATATTGTTCTATGTTACGGTTTGTATTGTGGCTGGCTGAACTAGAACCAGAATAACTCACTGTGCGACTATAACCAGATGTTCCTTGTTGGTTCGCGTTTTGAGAATTTGGATTATTATTAGTATCATCATTATTTTTTTCTATGTCATGTTCACAGTTTTCACTATGAATGTGAAGATTACCATCATTGTCTTTATTGCCACTTTTATTTATAACACTTGAGTGCGGTGTTCCATATGAGCTAGTAGAGTGATAAGTTGTTCTTGTATATCCTGGTCTACTGTGCGTTGAACTAAAACCTGATGAACTAGAACTAGAATGGCTTACTGTTTGTGAGGACTTGGCAGTTTTTGAATATTGTCCTGCATTCACAACACGTTGTGCATCATCATCTTCATCATTGTTATCTTCAAGGCGATGTTCATGATTTTCATTGTTTTCCTGATTTTCAGTAAGGCCTACTTGTGAATCGCGATTTGAATTTAAATTCGACGTAGAATGATAACTTGTTACTGTATATTGTGGTCTATTCCTGCTTGAATTATAGCTTGTTGAACTAGAACTAGAATGGCTTACTGTTTGCGAGGAATTGGCAGTTTTTGAATATTGTCCTGCATTCACAATACGTTGTGCATCATCATCTTCATCATTGTTATCTTCAAGGCGATCCTCATGATTTTCATTGTTTTCCTGATTTTCAGTAAGGCCTACTTGTGAATCGCGATTTGAATTTAAATTTGATGTAGAATAATAACTTGTTACTGTATATTGTGGTCTATTCCTGCTTGAATTATAGTTTGTTGAACTAGAACTAGAATGGCTTACTGTTCTCGAGGAATTGGTAGTTTTTGAATATTGTCCTGCATTTACAATACGTTGTCCATCATCATCTTCATCACTGTTATCTTCAAGGCGATGCTCATGATTTTCATTGTTTTCCTGATTTTCAGTAACGCCTACTTGTGAATCGCGATTTGAATTTAAATTCGATGTAGAATGATAACTTGTTACTGTATATTGTGGTCTATTTCTGCTTGAATTATAGCTTGTTGAACTAGAACTAGAATAGGTTGTGCGACGATATCCTGATGTTCCATGTTGGTTTAAGTTGTCGGTGTCCTGCGCATTATTTTCTTGTTCTACATCATGTTCACATTTGTCATCATGCACATGAGGAGTGCTCTCAGTCCTTTTATTTTCGCTATTGATAAATTGTGAATTAGGTTCTCCAAAAGAACTAGATGAAGTGTAAGTTCTCCTTACGTATCCTGGTCTGTTTTGACTTGAACTATGGCTTGAAGATCCAGTACGAGAAAAACTTGTTGTCCGAGAATACCCACCTGGTACTAAACGTTGTTCGTCGCTATTTTTATCTTGCTCTCTATCGTGTTCCAAATTGTGGGTATTAACTTGATGATCAGTCCCAGTAACATATGTTTGTGGTTTGACGTATGAATACGTCGTCCTTGTATAACCTGGGCTACTTTGGCTTGTAGTATATCTAGATGAACTAGTAGCGGTATTACCCTGAGACTCTAACTTTTGTCTTAAACTAGCCATCAATTGATCATTATAATTGTTTACACTATCTGTATTTGTATTACTGCTGCTTTCTTCGTGAGAACTTGAGGAATAAGTGCGGCTATAACTAGTTCTATAACCGCTCTGCTGCGCTAAAGACTTCTTTATTGCTTCTTGCACTTGAGGATCCATATTTATGTACTCTGTTGGAACATCTGGAGTAGATGAGGAATAGCTACTCTGTGACTCTACCTTTTGTCTTAAACTCGCCATCAATTGATCATTATAATTGGTTGTACTATCTGTATTTGTATTACTGCTGCTTCCTTCATGAGAACTTGAGTAATAAGTGCGACAACTAGTTCGAGAACCACACTGCTGGGCTAAAGATTTCTTTAACGCTCCTTGCATTTGAGAAACCATAGTTTTGTACTTTGGTGGACCATTTGAAGTAGATGAAGTATATGATCTTTGGTAACTACGCAGATATTCCGGAGCCGGTGTAACCAACACAGCCCAGCTGCAAATCAACAGGCTCGCTAAGAACCTCATTGCTGAAAATATATAAGTAAATATTGAATAATGTTTGAAGAAAACACTTAAAATCATGTTATAATTTCAGGACATACAAGCACGCGCGTGTGCAATATAAATAATATAATTACAGATATTATAAATATGTTTGAAAGATATCAATTGAGAACCGCAATTGAAAGCAAAAACTTGATTTTTGAAATTGACAATTGAAAATTTATTTATCTTATCTAGATACCAATTTCGATTGATTAAGACAATTATTACACCTATCAGGAATTTTTTGCAACTTGCCTTAAAGCAAAATGCCACTTTCAACTACTTAACTTCCCGTAGGGTAAGTTATAGTAATCGCAAAAAAATTTTTTTTTTAATATCTTTACGTTTCAAAAGTTTTTGAACATATTGGCATACCTTAAAAAATAGAATTAAGTGTGTTTGTGTGTGTGTGTGTTTGAATACAATTTTTGTCTACGATTTGAATTGATGAAATTTTTTGGAAGGATGGTCTAGCGGTTTCGGAGATACGGGGGAAAATGTAAAAAACAGATATTTGGCGATCTAAAATAATCATTAGACATATCAAATTATCAGATAATTTATAGATTTCAGACATGAGTACTAATTTTTGTTCCGATTTTCTAGGGTTCGTACCAAGAAACTTGGTTTTCGAAGTTTACTTATACGGTTCAAACCAATTTCAAAATTTTCAGAAAAATCTTTTTTCAAAATTTATAAAAATAATCAGAATTTTTAAACTTCAAATATAAATTTTAAATTTTCAATTTGGCTTACAAATGTATATATTTTATATGCGTTTTTATTCTACTCGTAAGAAATATATCCTCAGATGGATTCATTCGGCGTCACTTCTTAATGTAAACATTTTTAAGAGTTTTGAGCAATGAGATCGTCACTAGATATTATCTGACCGATAAAATATATAGTAAATATAATTATCTCTTTAAAAATATTCAAAATAATTATTATTAATCATTGATCAATATTTATTGATTATTAACTTCCCGTAGGGCAAGTTATAGTAATCGCAAAAAAATCGAAAATGAAAATTTTTATAGATCTTTACGTTTGAAAACCTTCTGAACATTTTGGCATATCTTAGAAAAAATGGATGTGTGCGTGTGTGTGTGTGTATGTATGTATGTTCGGATACAAAATTTCGTCGACGATTTCGGGAACACGGATCAACCAATTTGAATAATTCAAAAAACATTCGATTCGTATTGATAAGGAGACATGCTGCTTAGTTTTTAGGAAAGGCAGGTCTAGCCGTTCCGAAGATACGGGGCAAAAAATGCCGAAAACGGTAACTCAGTTTTTAAGAGAACGATGCGTCCGATTTGAATAATTCAAAAAACATTTTATTTGTATCGACTAAATGAAGAATTGATCAAATTTTTATAAAGGTAGGTCTAGCGGTTTCGGAGATCTAATGAAAAAAGTAAAACAAAAAGCCATTTGGCGGTCAAAAATGAACATTAGACATATGCACATCAAATTATCAGATATTTTATAGAGATTTTAACAATAAGTATAAATTTTGTTTACATTCCTATGGGTTCCGTACTAATGTTTACGCGTTAGACGGCGACGCGGCGCTTAGGCGTTTTGATATTTCGTCTTTATGCGGTTAAAGCAGTACGATTGCCTTGAAAAAAAGTTCAGAATTTCGAAAATATTACAAAATAAATTATTTAAAATAGAATGATTTAATCTGGTTCGAAATTCTATTAAAAGTTTCAAATCATTGATCAACTTTTATTGATTATTATTATTGATTATTTTTAATTACTCGAATTTTGAATTGCGGTACGGGAAGTTCCAGCAATTTGCCTTAAGGCACGAAGCCCTAATTGCCTTAAGACAGAATTCCACTTACAGCTAGTTAATTTTTTGCAATTTGCCTTAACGCACGATGCCATGCACCACTAGTTTTTAGTAAGTTCATTACAATCGATTTTCAAATAATTAATTAATAAACCCGTTTCGGTATCGATATTTGTCCCTCGTGTCATACACGTCCGACGTAACGACCGTCGACCGCCACGATTCCTCCTAACCGCATTAACCGCGTAACCTTGCGGGGCGCGCGCCTGCGGTGCGTTATTGCAAACCTGGCTGGCGGCTCTCCGACAGGCCGTGAATAATCAATGGAATTCACGTATGACGAACCGGACACAAGCACAAATTGGTGCCTAGGGACTCTCCGGAGTGTAGTTCCAACCCGTGATGCCGTTATTTTTTATTAGAAACATGATAACGATTTATATTATTAATTCATAATGCGATTTATTTTATAATTTATAAGCCGATAATAAACAATATGGGGTAGCAAAATGTTATGTATTAGAATATATGTTGATTTTTTTTTTATTTACTCTGTTTTCGAAAACTTTTATAAATTAAAAAGATAAACTATTAAGTTCACCATATTATTTTAAGTCAAAACCGGAAAAGCAATTTTAGTAATGCTAGTCTAGGTCGAGGGGGCGGGTGGTGATGGTAAATATCTGAAATATGATTATCGAAGTTTTTATATGAAACATTTTTTTAAATTAGAGTTGCGGGATTTTAGTAAAATTTTTGTTATTTCATTATATAATAAAGATAATTTATTTTCTGTAATTATTAAATTTAATCCTGTATCCGTAATATATTAAATATATTATTTAATTTGACTCTTTTTTATCCTCTTTACATATTATGTCATATTAATAACTTCCTGTGGAGTATGTTATTGTAATCGTCCAAAAATCGAAATTGAAAATTTTTGCATATCTTCACGTTTTGAAGGTTTCTGAACATTTTGGCATACCTTAGAAAAAATTGATGTAGGTATGTGTGTGCGTGTGTGAGTGTGTGAGTGCGCGCGTATGTATGGATACAATTTTCGTCCACGTTTTTGGGAACACGGATCAACTGATTTAAAATATTTAAAAAGCAATCGTTTACCATCGATAAGGAGACGTGCTAAATAGTTTTTGGCAAAAGTCTGTCCAGCCGTTTCGGAGATATGAAGCATAGAGTACAGAAAATGGAAATTAGATTTTTGAGAAATCGGAGCATTCGATTTGAATGATTCAAAAAACATTCAATTTGTAATGATGGGGAGAAGTGGTGATAAGTTTTTGGCGAAGGCAAGTTCAGCCGTTTTGTAGATACAGAGTTAAATATGCAAAAAATGTCAGTTTCTGGGAGAACAAAACATTCGATTTGAATTATTCAAAAATGCTTGTTTTGACAAAATATTGGTTTTGATTTTTCATTATCGAAAATATTTTGGATTTCATTTCTAATTCTTGCTGTAATAATCTATATATAATATTCAATACTCTTTGAATATTATATTACTGTACAATAAGTTCCAGCTATTTGTCTTAAGGCATGATGCCTTACACCACTAGATCTTATATTTTTTGGTCTATTTGTTTTTATTCGGTTTTGCACATTGTATAGAATCTTGTTCATTTTTTTCTTTACAATCACCTTAAAATTTCAGCAAAATTGTTAGTTTTCATAGTTTTTGTTAATTTTCGTGAAATTAAAAATAAAAGTTTGAATTTTCATGGTAGAAGCTATTATAACATTGGAATTTGGTATACGATAATTTTCTCATTCATAATGTTTTGATTCATAAAAGAATCATGGGAATGATGAACTCTTTGTATTGTAACATAATATAGATCATTGCCAGATATTTGTAATTCTTTGCAAAGATAAGTAAAATAGGGTAAAGTTATGGCAACGCTATGTTGCGCTCCATTTTCATATAAAATTGTACTAAAACTGTCAAATTGAAATTTGAATCTGCTGTCGACCAGCCGTTTTACACATAAAAAACTTCTCGCATATGTTGATGACACATCAGAAAAATGCAGTTTCGATAACAACCTTTTTGCGGTTTCTAGGTTTTATATCTAAAATTCTTGACTGCACAGCAAAAACATAGCATTTTGATAGTTTTTAGTAACATTTTATATGAAAATGACAGCATAACATTCGTCTATTTTACGTCGGAATTGGTCCATAAGTTTTTTTGATACAATTTTAAGTAAATGATCTAATAAAAGTACCATATTATTATCGAGAATAACGTGCTCGATACAAACAACTTGAAAGAAAACGAATTATTGCAATTGCTAAGCATGAACGATGCGCTATATTTTTAATTTGTTTTACAAACTACGTATTCCAAATTGCCAAATTTTCGGCTACACTCCCCGATAATAACGTTCCCGGATCACAATTGCGATTTTGCATGCATCTGTAGTAACTATTCGCAGTGGACATATCCATATCACGTTTGTACATAAACGCTGACATTAACATCTGCCTCTGTAGTTAATATCTTTTACGGCAAAATTTACGATCGAATTTCTAACTCTCATCCTATATACGTATTAATTTGAGAACGATGCGTATTATAAATTTCAAGCTGGCCACAGGAATTTGGCTAAAATGGCTAAATGAGCAAAAGGATCGAAGCCACATAAAAAATTAAAATAATAAAATAAATTGCCACTTTCTGTAAAATATATAATAGTGATGGTGTAACTATTGGATGAGAAACAATATACTTGGAATCTACTTTTTTATTAATAATAGCAATCAAGAAATCTTAAAAGGGGCGATCTATCAATCTCAATAGGATTTTAAGGGAAAGGGGGGGTTGATAAAAAATGACGAAATATCACGTAGAAGAGAAGGTCGTATAGTACGATATCACGTGAATTTATTTTGCACAGGAATTTTTTTTTAAATCCAAATAGTTACAATTTTTTTTAAAAAAATACATGTGGTGTTTGGTGGGGGAAGGGGGGTAATTTTGAATATTACACGTATCGCCAAGGGGGTAGAGGGGGTCCAAAAGTCCTTAAAAAATTGATCACGTGATTAATAGACGCCCTAAGACATTGTTACATGAAAGAGAGAAAAAAATAGAATAGAAGATACAATAATAATTTAGAGTACAATTCATGAAGAGAAGTTCAGATAACTATCATATATATAATATTCTTTACATTATTTAATTATTTATTTTTTAATACATAAATATTTTTTTTAGTTTGTTGAATACTTTTTATTGCTCTTATATATTTTTTAAAATAAGCGTAAATTTTTTAGTTTGTTGAATTCTTTTTATTGCTCTTATATATATTTATTTTTCAGTTATTTTTTTCGTCTTATATCAGTTTTGTTCTACTTTTATTATTATTATTATTATTATTATTATATTTTTATATATTTTTTATAACAAGATTATATTTCGTAATACACAATTTTTTTCAGATTTCAAATTTATGTTTTAAATTTTTCATTATTATCCATATTAACCGAAAGAATAGCACTTCTAAATAAAAAACAAAATTTGAGAAAAATATTCAGTAGTATTTTTATATAGCATTTTAAAAAAAAGTTATTTATCATAATTTATGTTAAAATGAATGAAATCTATATAAAAAAATATGAAGAACGTTTTTTTTAAGTTTGAGCTTTTTTAAGATGATGCTATGAACTTATTTTTCAGATACTTCAATATACTTAATTACTTATTATTTTATTATTGTATTTTTTAATATGAACTTATAAATTTTTATTTATTTTTCATATTTCTGGTCATTATTGTGGTTAATACAAACTAAATTGCTTATTTTGTATTTTTTATTGAAAGTTTTTCATAATCGTAAAATAAATTTTTATTCTAATTTAAATTTACACTATTTATTTATGAGTAATGTTAATTCTTACCTTATTTATCATTATTTTAAATAATTATCCAAATTTAAAATATATATTAATTACATAGTTATATTTAATTTTATTTTAGCTATTACATCATAATATCAGAAGTCACTTGTTTTATTCCTAAACCTAAATTTCATACTACATCATAAAACTTTATATTAAAGCAATTGAAAAATTATTGATTTATTTGCACTTTCTCGCCAAATTTTGTTTCACAAAAATTAGATCTTGTGTCTTTTTGCACAATAAAATATTGTTTCACATACAAGTATCAAAATATTTTCAATTAAAAAAGCAACTTTCCTACCTCAAATATCTCATAAACCAATCGCATACAATAACACTTGTTCCTTGTCCAATTCACAGAAAAAAACTGTACAAAACGTTTTCATTTATTTAGTTATAACCATGCTTTATGGTGTATTAATAATTCGCATCTGCCTTATAAATTCAAAGATTTCTTCTTAAATACTATTGCCGATTGGAGACTAAGATAACCGAGCAAATATAAAATACCCATACACATGTTTACATTAAAAGCTATCTGTTTGTAAGCTACACCGTTCATTGAATTCCCGATAATCTGCTATTTTTTAGTAAAAGAAGTTTAAAATTTGATTAAAACTTTCAAGTGGGGGTTTTGAAGTTCCAAGAAACAAAGAAATTTGAAGGACCATTTCTTACATGTGACGTCTATGTCTATTATAACGTGACATTGATTCTTTACTACGTCACATGTGATGTCACCGTGATGTCGATTAGTTCATTCATCAGTCTATCTTCTAAGAACGCATCATTATGCGTTTATTTATAACTATCAGTTCATTCATACTGGTGACATTTATTTAATTCACTTTTTTTATAAACACGTGGTTTGAGGTTGATGAATAAATTCATTGAGTCAGGAATTTCCTGTGCAGAATCATTAGAACGATTTATGTATTCGATGCAAGTGGCGAAATTTGATAAACTTGGAATTTGAAAATGTGTTTTGAGATAGGTACATAAGAAATTATTTTTAATTGGATCTGATTTTATGTATATTCAAATATGAATTTATAAATTTATGTATATTAACATTGCATATAAAAGTGCTATATAAATATTTAAATTAACTGTAAAATGTGAAATTAAGGTCCCATTAAGGAATTTTCAAAAATATCAAATAAAAAGTGTATAATATTGAATTAATTTTTTTCCAACGTCAGTTTTGACCACGATTTAGTTAGAGATTAATTATCACAATAATTCTAATAAATCAATTTTTGTTTAAAGAAATGCATTTGTAAAAGCTCAGCAAAAGCTTCAATTTATTTGATTCAATTTAAACGAATATGTTTAAAAAAAAATGAAACATCATGGAAGTTTTGCATTCTATTGAAGCAATTGTATTTTGGTTTACTTTTAGATCAAACTCTATAAACGTAATTAGGTCTGATAGACAATCTAATAGAATTGAAGTAATTATTATCAAAGATCACATTTTTTTAATTTTATTTTTGAAATTTTGCCCATTAATTTTCATATGTGGTTAGTATCAAGAAGTATGGACTATTGTTTCCATTGTCTGCAATATTACAATTATTGTTACTGACAAAATTTGTGTTGTTAATTTGCAAAAGCTCACGAAAAGCTTCAATATGATCACTTTTATAGAAATTGAAATGTATAAACAAAAAGACGATACATCATTGAATCGTTTAAAAAATGAGTTTGATATGACATTATTTATTCTGATTAAAAACGCCAAGCTTGATAACCATAATTAGGGTTAGGATACTATTTTGGAATTCAGAAATTGTATTTTAAAAATTTGAAAATTTTACAATTAATAATTATATTATATTTTTGAAAAATTGTCTTCACAGAAATTATTCTACAAAAAAATAAAGCTTAACTATTTTTTTAGGATCAAGAACATCAAGCATCAAGAAATACAGATTATTACAGTAATAGTTTCAGAAAGAAAATATTTGGCATTTAAATAAATGTAATTTAGATTAATAAATTGAAAAATTATAATAATTTAATTATAATATGAAAAATATTGCATTTTTCTGCAAATTTATATTGATTGTTAATGATTTAGAAATATATTTTTGTTTGTATAAAAGCTTGGCTGAAGTTTCGAATCGTTTTAAAAAAAAAATGGCATTTAAATAACTAGAAAGATAAATAAATTAAAAAATTAAAGAATAAATACTTCAAATTAATTAATTGAAAAATTATATAAAATATTGCATTTTTTTGCAATTTAATACTAATTGTTGATAATTTAAAGATACATTTTTGTTTGTGTAAAAGCTCGGCTAAAGCTCCATATATATTTATTATTATTTAGTATGTAATATATAGACATGGTATCGTTTAAATCAATATTTTTTTAACATAATTGAATTCGATTTTGATGACCTTAACTGAAGTTTTTTCATTAATTTTATACATTTGATATCCAAATTAGGTCTAGGAGACGTTCAATGGAATTCAAGGAATTGATTACCAATTATCAAAATTTCTAATTATATTTTTGGAATTTTGCTTTGATAAAACGTGCGTATGTATAGCAAAACGTGTATAAATAATAATTAAATTCATTTATATATTTGAGATATTTATACATAATCATAATTACCCAAGTTCGAGGAATAAGGTCATCTTATATGAATGATAACACAGCTATATACAAACTTGACCTCGTTTGATTGTGTAAACTCAATAAGCAAATTTTGAACTTCTACGAATTTCCAAGGAAACATGAAAAGTTCAAGAACCATTAATTATTAGTGTTATCAATTCGAATACGGAAACTGGATTTTTGGCAATTTAAAACAGTCTAAAAATTATATAATCAAGTATTTGATTTGTGAATTCTCTATTTAAAGCATACAGGCTTCTTTCACATTTTAGGCTTCTTAAGGCTGCAATATTAATTTTTTTTATATATATTTTATATTCTATATATATATATATATATATATATATATATATTGTTATATAAAATATCACTATTGAATTTCTGAATATTTTTGCACTTTTTCGCCTTTTCCATTCGCACATTTCAAATACGAGTGCTATCTCAAAGTTACACCTTTAATTTCCTGATGCTTTTGGTTGAAATTGTATAAATTCCCTATAACATTCCTAATATATATATATATATATATATATATTAGGGTGGTCCTTAATATGGACATTTTCGTATTTCCTTGCTCCCAAGGGCACAAATGGTTCCAAATTGATAAAAAACTATTCTCTGAAAGTTTTAGCTCTTAATATTGTCTTTAAGGTAGTGCGCAATTTAATAAAAGTTTTGTATGAAAATGTCATGAAATTTTTTTCTAAAATTTAAAAATTGCTTTTCAGCCAAAAAGTTCCAGCAATTTGCCTTAAGGCATGATGCCATATACAACTAGTTAATTTTATTTTTTCTGAATGAATTTACATATAACATTCAAACATATAAGATGAACAATTCAAGTATTTATCAATTCACAATTTTGTAAAATAATCCAAGAATTTCAGCGACACATAATTACTCTAAATACATTATTAAATTTATTAGTCTATTATTAACTTCACAAAGTATAAGTTATAGTAATCGTAAAAAATTAGAAAATAGAAATTTTTGCTTATCTTTCCTTTTTTTCTGAACATTTTGTCATGCCTTAGAAAAAATGGTTATGTGTGTGTGGGTGTGTGTATATGTAGTATGTGCGTGTGTATGTTTGGATACAATTTTATGTCCATTATTTTGAGAGCACGATTTGATGAATTCAAGAAATCATTTAATATTTAGTAAAATGTGCAGGAAAATGCAATTGATTTTTGGAGAAAACGGAGCGTCTGATTTGAATTTTTCGAAAAAAAATTGTTTTGACGAAATGAACAAATTATAAATTTAGGGATCCAACAAAAAAATGTCATTTGTCTGCCAAATATGATCATTAAAAATATTTACATTTAATTATCAGATACTTTATAGAGCTTTCTAATTTTTTTTTTGAGCTCTAAAACAACTATACTGATTAGATTCCTAATTTTAGTTCCTTTTTGGACAACTTGTATCAAACAGTAGTGAAATCAACTTATACTTTATATAAATATAAAAAATGATATGATTTGAAGTAAAAATAGCCTTATGGAGCATTGCAGCAAAAATGTTTGAAAAATTACATAATTTTGTTAAGTTCACTTGTTAAGTTATTATTAATTATTTTACAAAATAAACGAGTCTTTTTGTATATATAAAAAATAGTTTTCCCATGTAATCAAACTACCATTTTTTTAATGTTTTTATCTATTATGAAGTGTTGGAGGCAAGTGTTTCCTCCTAACATTATAATGCAAAGGCAATTCAATGGGATGTAGTTATTGCGATTACGAGATTATACAACATACCCGCGTAATCTACTTAAGTTCATAATTAAACTCGGCAAGGGGATGGTCTTAACTTATTATCCGAAATAATCTCATTGTAATGAGTGTTTGAGAATATAGAAAATTTCTGTACTGTATATGACTATCATAAACCTTTGAATTGAGTGAACAATGGGAGCCCACACACAACTTAAATTCCGGAGAAACTTTGACATCCGCAGTAAAATAAGGTAAAGGTTTTATGATGAAAAATTATTCTCTCACATTGTTGTAATTTGGGATTCTCCATGGGCTAATGGTTAGAGCTTTGGCCTTTCTACCAGAAGTTTTCAGCTCCGGTACCCTTGGTCTGCCCGATGTCCATCAGTAGTGACATCGGTTTTAACTTACAAATATAGTTCATAGTTACAAATAATTTTCCAATTGATAATAGTTTTTTTAGGCATATCTGCCTCAAATTAAAAATAATCAGTATCTGTTAGAGATATTCTAATAGAAATTGCCTTTAAAAATGCAGCGTAGGAAAGTAGAATCATTACAGCAGCTCATAGAGCTTAAAATTCTTATTTCTCTTTAAATATAAAAACTTTATGTTTTTCAAATATATTTTAATGAATATGAAAGTATAAATTATGAATTATAAATTTCTTTGTGTTATTCCTGGTGTATTTTAAGTATATGCATTATTATTCAATTTCCCGTAAGATAAGCTATAGGAAAGCAAAAAAATAAAAATTGAAAATTTTTGCATATCTTTATGCTTCAGGATCTTCTAAACATTTTGGCATACCTAAGAATGTATGTGTGTGTGTACACTATGAGTGTATTGCATGTTTGGATATAATTTTTTGTCCATGATTTTGAGAGCATGGATCATTCGATTTGAATAATTGAAAAACAATATATGTGTGTGAGTGTGAGTGTATGTGCATGTTTGGATACAATTTTTATCTATGATTTTGTGAGCACAGATCATCCGAT